TTAAGGTTTTTGAAAATTCATAATTTTAGAGAGAAGAAATTCTAGAGAAATAAAAAGAGAGAATAAGAGAGGAGGTTCTGCTCTAATTCCGGTCCCGATTTAAGAAAAAGAGGAGGAGGTTCTGCCCAAGTTCCTATTCATCCAGGTACGGGGGAAAAGGGGATTATTTATATGTAGAGTACATGAGGGAATTGGGTAGAGGAATAATTTCTTAAAATCACGTTTAATTTATCTGAATGGAAGGCCGAGCCTCCTATTAATTTATAATTTGGAATTTATCTGAATGGAAGGCTGAGCCTCCTATTATTTTGTAATTTAAATGTTCTTGATAAAAGACTAAAATTTACATCTTTGTTATATTTTTATGATTTGGAAAATATAAATGGATTCCTAACTAGGAGGCACTGCCACCTTTACTGGAGTTAATTTATATTTTCTTTATTATTATATATATATATATGTATTCCTAGTTTTTCACTATATTGTAAGGGTAGTACTTATAAGACTTAATCTGGTATGTATGAGTTTGAATTATCACATTAATTCCATGTTCTATGTATGATTGAGGTTGGATTGAGGGGAAAAGGTTTTGGTTAGGGTTTTCATGATTTCTTCATGATTTCCATGGATTAATGGTTAAAACTTAAATTTATTGCTTAAAATGATGTTTTTTGATATTGTTTATGTTTTTTTTTAATGGTTCAAATTCGTGTAATTTGGATTGGATTCATGATTGGAAGGAATTTTCAAGGTTTTCATGGGTTGCTGGTTGCAGAATGCGCTGGGCGCGCTGAGTGCAAGTCTGGGCGCTGAGCGTGAATATTTTGATTTTGAGGTCTTAATGAAAGTTGTAGCCTTGGATTTTAGCTTTCCAATGGCGTTGGAATCACCCAAAAAGGAGGTCTAGAACTCCAGATATGGATGTTTTAGTGAAGAGGGGTCAAGCTGTCAGCTTTATCTATAGCTGTTGCGGTTTTTATCATTTTTCACAAAGTAGATGATGGAATTAGGACTTGATGTCTTCATGAGAGTTGTAGGAAATTTTCTTATCTTTCATATGAAATAAGGATGAGCATGGTAGGAGTAGTATAACCCCTGATACGCTGTTTATAGTTTATACTAATCATTCTATTGATTATTATATTAGTTATTGTTATGTTATTTGATGGATGATATTGATGTGAATTTGAATTATGAGTTGAGATATTGTATGATTATGATTGTGATGTCTCACATTGATGACTAGGATGGCACGACCCCTGGGTAAGTGGTGCTATAGGGAAGGCGTGACCCTAGTATGATGTGGGATGAGTAGGACAGTTAACACCACCACTTATGTCGCTTATGGCAGCCCTGGCATAGGGTTAATTGCAAGAGATTGTATTGATTGTAATGTGATTGTGTTTCCTCACACCAAAATGGCGAGGGACGGCACGGCCCCTGGGTAAGTGATGCTACAGGGAGGGCGTAACCCTGGTCTGGTGTGGGTTGAGTGAGGCAATTAACCTGTATCACTTGTGTCAGATGTGGCGAGGCCTTGGCATAGTGTTAATTGTTGGATTGACATGAATGTTGTATGTGAATATGATGAGTAATTGATATATATATATATACACTATATAATGAGTTATGATGAAATTATACTGTGATATGATTGAATGTATTTTGCATATAGATAATTTTTCTTTTCTCACCGTATAAATTGTTGATATTTTAGGTGGAGAGGATCCAACTGCAAGTGGTATATAGAATGCCATCCGTTAATTTGGGAAATGCTCTGATAGTGTGACATCGGGGCAAGAGGATCTCTAGGATAGAATATTTGGTATTGTAATAAATGTTATTTTCTTTGAAAAATGTGTAAACTCTTGAATTTTATCTTTCAAGTTTTATTTTTCAGTCAGAACAGTTATGAAGTATTATGTGAACCCTTTTACCAACTTAAAAAGTTTATTTTCCTTAATTTTTTTATTTATTATATTTCGATATATGTATTGGGGTAGTAAGGGTGTCACAGTGGTAAAGAGGAGGAGGTCGCTTCTTTGAAAGTGGAGCTGGCGAAGCTGGAGGAAGCTAGGGCGGGGTTAGAGAGGAAGCTTGAGGATACCGAGAAGGCTGTTGTCTTTGAGCATAAGAGGGGCTTCCTCAAGGCCGCCTGCCAGGCTAGGCTCCTCGCACCAGGGTTTGACTTCTTCGCGATGTCTTTTGAGTATGGCACTAGCTCATCTTTTAATGTATGTCATCTCACACCATTTTTAGGAGCTGAGGATATGGATGAAAATTCTAATCTGAGGACAGATGCTTCTCAAGAAGGAGGGGATGATGGAGGACCATCCATGAGAACACATGTGGGCCCCATCACTAGGTCCATGGCTAGGAGAGTGGAAGAGGAGGAGGGAGCTCACACACCAAGGGACACTCTCCTCATGATCATAGAGTATTAATTCTCTCCTAAGCTTCATTAGTTTAGGGTTTATTTTATTTGCCAATTTTACCCTTGTATTTTTGGGGTATCTTAGTCATAGGATTTATTTTCTTTTGTATTTACCATTTTACCCCTTGTATTATGGGGTGCTCTAGATGATTAGGGCTTTAATTTTTGGGCTAGGGTTTTAAACTAGGAGGTGACACATTTTTTTGGTGTTCTTGGACCTATGTTTGGTATTAGAAAGTCTTAGGCCCAAGTGGAGGGCAAAGGTTGCATGGTCTTATCATGCACCTAGATGTAGCCTAACTAATCCCAAAGATTCCATCCTTGGCCACCAAGTTGCATCTAGGGTTCATTTGCATTTCATTTGGTGTGCATTTGGCTTGTGAATTTCGGCCATGCACTCTCCAAATGCAACCCTAGATGCCTCCCACTCCTATAAATACCCTAGGCTATGCATCATGTAAATACTTTAGATTATATGATATTGAGTGAGCATTTTATGCCTCAAAATCCCATCCTTAGTCACTAGGTTAATTTGGCTAGCCTACTTCATTTTCCACCCTTGGAGAGTGAAACCCTAGAGTGGCCTCCATCTTCATTTTGGAGTGAGCCAACCCACCTTGAGCAATACACTTTCCCCCACCTTCACCTCTTCACGCCTAAATTTCCCTTCACTCTAAACGTCCCATATCTCTTGTCCTCTTTGGTGAGCCTAGATCATGGGCAAGGTGACCCTCTTCAACACACCATTATCAACCATGGAAGGGAGGTCTCCATCATTTTCTAAGAAGATATGCAAATTCAAGAATAATATTTTTCATGCCCTCCGTTCAGTTCTTTTCCTCATACATATAACCATCCATAAACAATAAGGATGGGCTTGATTTTGAATCGAAAGAAAACCAAAAAATGGGCCAAAATAACAAGTACTTGGGCTGTCAAAATAACAATTCCTCTTAAATATAGTCTTTCATCCAAATAGGGGCTGATGGGTTCCGTTTGGACCTATCACTGCCACACTGCACAACACAACTAAATAACAAATAAATATACTAAAATAAGTATAAGATATAATATATATATATATATATATATATATATATAGATATACACACTCACACACAACTCAAGTTGCTTAGCAAGCAACTATACAAAACTACAAAATGATCTACCACATCCGGTAGTCAATAAAATGAAACCAACTCCAATTCCAGGTGCCACTTGTGGCCTCAACTACGACTCTTCTGCCTATCCCTGCTCTGCTCCTATACAACGTATGATCATTGTAGTCCAAATCACATAGAAACATGCAAGGGTAAGCAAGGTAAAATAAATAACTCATATATATACACACACACACACAACATGGCAACCAAACATTATCAGCTCATCCAACACAACAACAAAACATCACTATATATATAACACATATTTCAGCACTAAGTCCAACACATCAACACTTATGCGTCATCACGCATTTCAACTCGGAGATCTCCTACAACACAGAGTGAACAATTTAAGGATAGAACAACTGGGTCTAGGCCTACCACGACATTAGCTAGCTTAACTAAGCCACCTATGAGATTAGCCTACCAACTATCCTCCAAATACTATAACCTTATGATACTCGGTTAGGAACTAAGTTCTTGACTTTATACTTTACTTGGTTTTGGCCGCTTGTAATCAGTATAGCTCAACTTGACCCTTATACTATGGTCGCTTTATACATGTGTGCCTCGACCTTGCCCACACACAATACCAACTAAGTCCTAGAGGAGAACAACACAACATCCATTTCAAGGGTCAACTTCGCAAGAAGGGTTTTTCAACAATAATTTGGTCTCTCAGAGCACTACAACACACTTAATCCACACAATGGGATGAGCAACTTTCAAAAACATCTCCTCTATTCCTAAGTGGTTAACACTTCTCATCAACACAACACAACAACATAGTTTCATCAACACTATTTAACAACACATTTTTAATAACACAACAACTTAATCAACTCATATAACATCTTTACACAACTACATACCTTTACAACTTAATTACAGCATACATCTCACAACTCAATCATCACTACATACTTCAGCAACACACAAACAATCAACACATGAAGCAACTCAACCAACAACCTTCCAACATACAACTCAACTACACATTCAACCATATAACAACACAAACATCATATTAGCAACTCATATACAACATTAAACTAAACATACATTTCTACTACACATAACAGAACCATGCCCAGGGAAATTGTTATTTTGCCCGGTGCTAGGTGTAACATCCCGAATTTTCTACTAGCATAATGGTTAATTATTATTTATTTTTATATTTATGGAGATTATTTTATAATATTTATTTTAATGAGTTTTATAGAATATTTTAGATGTTTTTAATAATTATGAGTATTTTAATAATAAATATTTATAAAAAAAATATTTTGTAATACTTTGATTTTTAGTAGCCTAGAACGGGTCGTTCTCAAACTGGAACGGGCCGTTCCAAACTATGAAAATGGCCTAAAAAGACTAGATTGGAATAGGTCATTCCAACACATGATGTTATGAGCAATATGCGAACCCAGAATGGGTCGTTCCACTTTAGGAATAGGTCGTTCTAATAATGGTCGTTGTGGGTTAAATTGTAATCCCAGAACGAGCCGTTCTGGTTTGAGAACGGGCCGTTCTGGATATGAAGTTTGTTAAGTCAGACGAAGACGAAAGCAATACCCAGCAAGGTTTTTAATGAGACAAATATAATGCATATTGTTATTACTAACAAGTATGTTAGTGTTTAAGATATAAGTACATGTAAACTACTGAATAAAGAATTTACATGCATACCAGAATCAACGAGATGTGAAGCAAGCATTTGGATAAAGGCTGAGCAAAAGAAGGAACTACATCAAACAAAGACACCCACAAACTCAGACACAAATGAAATAAAGGACAAGAGCACGAGCAACCAAGATGAAGGGAAAAAGCTAACAAGACGACAGATGAAGAGATCAAACGATCAAACGAAATCAAGCCCAGCACAAGAAGTAAAATAATGAAGCCTCAGATGATACAAGACCATGGACATTGGGCAAGACTAAGTTAAAGCACCATAGATAGAGTCAAGTATCTACAACAACCAATCAGACGAAGACTCGAATACACAGACGAAGATCACGGAAGCTGGATTGCGTCTGAAGACACAACAAGACAAACTATCTAACATCCATACTCTTAGAAGAACATATGGAGTCATTAAAATATAAGAAGGAAGATAAGACAAATGGACGAGCGCTTATCCACAAATCAAAATAGCGTGTGTCAGAGCAAGTAAAACTACTAGTCAGTAAAGGATAACGCCTCTGTATCAGGAAAGTACAAAGATATCCTAATGCCAAATATAGAAGCAATCAAATGGTACAAAAGACCTCATAGAACGCAGATTCAGCAAGTAAACATATAAAGCAAGATCAAAGGCATTAAATACAAAAATCCACAAAGCCTGTGCAAAATAAACAAGATTCAGATGATGGTCAGTCAAACATCAAAATTAGGATGAATCACGGACGGAAGAACATTTAACAAACACAGGATTGAAGCATCAGACAAAGAGCCAAAGCAGACTAACTCAAGCACAAGACAAAAGAAGGTTAAACATCAGACAAAGCTCATGTAACCTTCAGATAAGAGTAATCGAGGCAAGGCACGTCATAAGAATGAAGTCTACTATTATCATAGTGAGACACCGAAGTATTAGATGATGAAATAGTCAAGGCGAGACACAAACCAGTGAAGTTGAGACAAATGAAGCAAGAGACAGAGGAAACCAAGTGTCAAGCAATGGATAGTTGGAACACGAATATGTACCAGATGATCACAAATTATCCATACAAGGTTGTGACAAGTGCAACCACTCTAAAAAGCACAAATCAGACGAGGCATATGTCTAAGGACAAAAGAAAGTCAATCGTGCATCAGGACCAAGAGCAAAAAAGACTAAAAGAAACTCTGGACGAAGACAAGATTGCTTGTAATGTTGACCAGACCGTATAAGACGCCAAAGCATCAATGAAAAATACTCAAATGGAGAACAAGACGTGAAACGCAGATGAAGACTACTGAGCAAACACTTATCTAGTCTCAAAAGAGTATTCAAATCATCATCTACGATCACATAGGTGTTCTCAACGAAACAGCAGAAGAAACAAAGATGAAGAGAAGTACGTAAAAGCAGAGCATGCATGTGTAAGAAAAAGTGCATTACTTTTTCAGAAAAGGACAACGGCTATATTGCAGCATGACCAGAAAAAGACAAGTAATTTCTTGGTCTCAAATAAAGTCAAACACTGCTGCAACAGGACAGAGAAGTATACACACAATGTCTAAGAATAGGAAGTAACATTTAATGCAAGACCAAATGCATTAAATGAAAGAATCAAACTAGTCATGAATGACTATATTAGCTTCAA